CGTCCTATAAAAATACCCAAAACTACACTTTTTTTTCTCCCTGCACTTCTTACACCTTATACTACAATAATTTCAGACACACTATTCAGCGCACCCTCTTCATTTACTTTAATATTATTGGACATATCTCGACCGAAAAATTAACTTGAACTATCTCAACGTCAAAATACTTTACCGCGAGTTCTCCAAATCGTAAATATTGTTATCATTGTAATATTTTGCTTTAGCAAAACCTCATTACCTAGTTATCAAAGAAATATTATACAAATCTATATCATTACTCATTACTATTACCAAAGCAAAGTGCACGTTTTACTAGCATCGAGTGAGTTAAAACGAGTTCATGTAAACAATAAAATTATGCAATAAATAACCGTGATAGGAACGTAGAAAATTGATGTCATATTTTTACTAATTATTTTTAAAAAAAAGTTTAAGAATATTTAAGAAAAAAAACGATGAATTTGTAAATTATCTGTTCAAATTGTAATACTTTCAATTGATATACCTAATATGTAATCATTATAAAAATTTTAAAAATTAAACATGACCCTTTTCTCTAGTTTTCGTTGAAAATATATATTTCCTTCGTTCCGCATAGTAAATTTCAATAAATAAATAAGCAAATGTGGGTATTTTTTTTTTTTTAATAATTAAGCGGTTGCCGCATTGAGATTTTTAAAGTCATCTCGTTTATTATACTCGGACGGGTCGCAGCGAATGGCTTTAGATTCTTTACTGATAACTTGCGTTCGGTCAGTATTTAATATTGAAATTTACCGAATAATTATTATTTCAATTGGATGCGTAGGTATACTGTAATCTAGACGAGGACACTCAGGTACATATACATAATTCAAGATGATGATAACATAATAATAACAACCGGTACGCCACGCATTACCTGCTAATAAATGGTAATTTCCGTACTGATATTCAGTACTGATAGAGTGATTTAATGCCGGACGGTAGACAGTTTTTTTTTCGCCTATAATAAAACACCGACAGTTGTTAGCCGACAAACCGGTGGGCTGAAACAAAAACAGAAAGTGACGACACCGGATTCATTCATATATATGTATAATATTAATATCAATTATGATACTGTAAGCTAGACGGAAAGTTAACAGTTAACCGTTGCCAAAAGAACACAGTCGGTGATGTTGTTATCTGCGCGCATTTTCCAACCGCACTTCCCTTCCCATCCTAAGTTTTAAACTCTTTAATTTTAATAATAATTATCCAAAGCCTATCCAGTCAAAATATGTAGTGCATTATTCTCAATTTGCAAAGTTAATAAAATGTATGCGTTTCAAAAGTTTCTATCAAAAAAACTAAGTTGGGAGGGGAGTAAAAACAAAAATAAATTGTGAGAAATTGAGATTACATTGTAAAAAAACATTATAAAAAAAAAATTAAATTATTACTTAAGCCCAGTGAGATAGTGGGTGGTTCACGTTAAGTTGGTCTCTCTGTATTGTGGATGTGTGATAAGACAGCTGAGAAATTGGTTTACAAAGCTAAAAAATATGCCGATGTCGAAAACTTTGTTTAAAATCGAACTATTAAGTGTATGTTTTGGGAAATTTTAAAACAACTTTAAAGTTTAAAATTTTAAGAAAAACGCTTTTGAAAACATTTTTAGTTGAAGGAAACCTTGTAAACATGATAATTGATAAACTATCAAATATCAACAAGAAACGTTTCTATGTGTTGATCGAGCTATTCTTTTTTTTCCTTAGACACAACAAAATTGACTGCCGTAAAAATGTTATATGTTCTAGGGTTAAACTAGTCTAAATTTCAGATTTTAAGAACTACACCTAAAAAGCAAAAACATGAAAAGGCTTATACTTCTTTCGAGGGAATATATTTTTGATGTTTTCTTGCTGTTAAGTCAGTCACGTCGATATAACTGTCTTTGAAAAATAAAATAAAATTTTAAAAATTATTTTATAATTTTAAATAACTTTGAGGGCTAATGTTCTACTAGGTACCAACAAGGGTCATTTGACTGACCACGAGAGGCAGGAACTAGTATCATATGCCACGGTCTAAGCCGTGTCTAAGTAATTTATCTCTCGTAACCATATCCTCCAAAGATCATGCTTAGATACCAAAAGGTGAAACGACCGCCAACTTACATGACACTGCAGATTGATTCCTAGAAGACTGTGCGAGTCTCAGCTGTATTTTTTTTTTACTGATAACCAACCAGTATTGAAAGCAGAAGTGGGTTAACTCGTTTTTGCTATTTAGTTTCCTTTCTTCGAGATCGATATAACGTGTAGTAATTGATCATTTAACGTAAAGACAAATCGTGAAACGATAAAATGCTTGTAATTAATTCGACGGATAATTGTTTCGACAAAACATTGTGTTTTGCATATTTAATAATATTATCAGTGTAATGATGAATGGTTATTTGGTTTTCGATAACATATATTTTAACGTCCGTCGCCGTTGCCGACAGTTGCGGCTGTCCGCCCATCCGTTTAGAGCATACTTATACAGTACTAATAATAATAATAACGATGTAGTATGTATAATTTGTATTTTGTAAATTGTTGCTAATGTTGTGAGTAATTTGTTAGGTCTGTCCCACAGTCGCTCGCGCTTAGGTTGACAGAAAAATCACAACAGAAATACTCTTGAAACGGGAGAAAAATCATGTCGACTTATAAGAATACACACACACACACACACACAAAATACAGTAATAAATAACCCAGAAACTTTTATAGCCATTATCTATCTGTATCAATACGTCCGTCCACATGCCACTGTACAAAACCCGTTTACATTTGTTTATCGTTTTGTACCCCTCATGTATATTGCCGTGACGGGTGTCCACTTCACTGGTTTTATGCATTTTTGTCATTTAAAATAAATCAAATGGTCGAAATTGAATTCGCTTCCATTTTCATCTGGTTTCTACATTTTTATTATTTCTACTTTTCCAGATCAAAACGTCCGCGGTTAGTACCTAGTATTATATATGTATAATAATAGTATGTGGACCCGTGAGACGAGTTTTGGCGTCCTACTGACCAGAAATATAATTGAAATAAAATATAAAATTTATATTTTTTACTGTAAAAAATGTCACCAGGTAGTTCAGTAGGGCGCAGTTCAAAAGAAAAATCTTTTAAACGGTGATTGGTGCGACTAAATTGCATTTAAAATCAAATACTATCAAGGTGATACGGTTTGTAGGTTTAAACATTTGACTGTAAGTTATCAAATATCAATATAGTGATATCTAATTGGCGAAAAGCATCATATAAAATTGAATTTTAAGAGGAAAATCCGTAGAAACCGATAGTGTACCGGTATTCTCCAAAGAGGTTTTGAAAACAACTCACATTTTCTCTCGGTCATGGGTTTTTGAAATATTATATTTTTACTTAACGTTTAATAAAAAAAAAAAATAATAATAACGTTATTCGGTGTGATTTTTATCCTTTCAACTCTTTCGCGTTGACCCACACGCAAGTAAAATTACATGCCAACAATTTCAGCTACTTTTCACCTTTTTTCGTTGACCTCTGATCACGATCCTGAGGAATTTACTTACAAAATTGCTGAATTTAAATTTGCATGAAATAATTAATACTTTACGTTCGGAAAATAATTATTTCAAGCTTTAAGAAACCAGCTCCGATTATTATTTTTGTCAAAATACATAGGTGTTAAGGTATATTATTAAGCCGACGGGATTGGATGTGTTTTCGACGTTGTGTAAAACCTAACAATACCGTTATTAAAATGTTTAGGGAGAGATCTGCCGAAGAGTTATCTCCTAAAACGGTTAACTGAAAGTTTTTAGAGTGAAATTCGGTGTGTGTAGGCGTGAAAATATATAGTAGGCACCTCATATTATTATATTACTATAATATAAGTACGGTATTATTAAATTAAGCATGTGTTTTGCGTAATGGTTCGAGGCTGTGTATAACCACCAACTCCATTGACGACTTCTCTCCTATAGACTATCTATCAATTTATCTATGGAAAATATAAGAACAGCAACAGCTTAACGGTGGTCGCGGTACCGTAATTTAAAATTCGACAAACTTAACACCATTCACCGAGACAGTGGTAAAATATGCGTACCCATACTCGCACAGTATAATAGTCATATACCGGTTTACGCGCATTATCGGCCACCAGCGGCTAACTATACTATGGTTGTCTATAAAACAACAGTAATTGTTGTTGTTGCTGCCAATGCGGTTGGTCGTGATTCGCGATTTCGTGAAAACATACATTATAATAATATGGTACACTAATTACCGAGCAATTCGTAATCGGTATATCACGTAATGACAGCTCAGATTTTGGATTTTGTTTGGGCTGATCTAAGTGCGCAGCTGTGTCAAAAAAATAATGAAAAAAAATAGTACCGTCTATCTAAGCTTTGTATCGAAACTAAAATTTTAAAACCAACGCTATATTGTATTATAGTATTAAAATATGTAAGCATATATTAGGGTGATGCTTAATTGAGTTTTTGTAAAACTCACATGTTGGATTTTCCAGCAAATCGGTTTTGAATAAATTAATAAAATCTAATAATTTTGGGATTTATATTTTTATCACAATGTTTGAACAATATGATTACAGTACGTTTAGTTACACTTAAGATTTGTACTCTCTGTAACAGTTATAAAACATTCGAAGTTATTTACATAAACCTATATTAATTTTTTTTTTTTAATTTCGTAAATATTAACATTTTTAGCTAGCACACTTAGAAAACTGTTACAAACGCGTTCAGTCTTTTAGGCAAAGTTTAAATAAAATATTCATATTCTAAACAAGTATATTATAAACAGAGCAGTGAGAATTGATACAGATCTAAATGTTCAAGTATCAACCAATAGTAATACGTTACTAACAAATTCTACTTCTATACTATTGTATAATAATAATTTAATATGCAAGATATACCTGCTCATTTTAACATAGTTTGTAATTATTATCATTTTTTGTTTTAGGTAAGTGCTAATTACTTACAAAAGTTTGCGAATTACTGTAATACGTAAGTATGCAATTTTCTTTGCACAAAAAAAATAATAGAAAGTATAATATATATATATATATATTTTTTTTTTTTTTAAGCTTAATAATATAAAGTGTGATATGGTCGATATAAAAAACCCATCATTCCAATAATTGTAAAACCAAGCTTCGAAATAGAGCTTAAGTTTAGGAATACATAAAAGTTGTAGAACAGAAACGTGTATTATTTAAAACAAATAATAAAAGTTATTTAAAAAAAAAAAATTAATGGACGTAGCCCATTTGGCTCCCGTTTTACAAAAAGGTAAATTCCCAAACCGCTCCTGTTTTTAACAACACAAATTCCTTCTAGTCGGCGAGTTTTTTATGGAAAGAAAACGAAACATTTTCTATCATTATTTTCAATAATTTTAACAGATTCAATAGGGGTTGCTACCATTTTTACCAAATTCGAAATTCATATTGATAACTGATAAAGACGGCAGGTCTCCGAGTGTTTTGGCACTCGCTCGCTCGGCACCGTCGCTTCGCTCCGCTAACTAAAAATATCCTAGGTTTGTAGGCTACAGTCTAGGAGGAGGTCACAGGTTTAAAATTAAGTTTAAGTTTTTTTGAAAAGTTAAAGAGACTTGATAAGAAGCTGGTCATTGGGAAAAAATGTACAATGGAAAATGGTCTTTGGTAAAAGTGGTGTCATCACATTCAATAGAACTTAAAAGTAAGATATGACATGAATGTTTTCTGCGTCGCATCTGTACTTATTTTGTTACGAGAAATATACGCCTAGTACCGAATACCGGAGCCGTTTGGGAATTTACCTACTCGTGAAACATTTTTAGATGGGAGTCGTTTGGAAAAAAACAAACAATGGATGGGAGCCGTTTGGGTTGCACCGAAATTAACAGCGAAACTTGATCTTTCAAAAAAACTCTATGTCTAATTTATTTTAATTTTAATAGTTTATTTTTTCAGTATTACTTTTAAACCATATTTGTTTCGTATACTATTTCTATTTAAACAGTCTTTTTTAGTATTGAACAAATTTAAAGACTTAAAAATAGTAGATTATGTCGTTTGTGAAAATACGGATATCGAAGGCCCATCTTTATTATCTATAGTATAATCTGCGTAGTGATATAGCTGAGAAATCATATTCACTGATATTAATTCACGGAAAATAATTCCCAATAAAATTGTCTTATATTAAAGTTCTATTACAACAATTTCTAATATTTATTTTTTTCCTTTGAGAATTTAAACTATTCGTATTTGGCCAATATTGAAGAAATCCATACAATTTGTTTTTACATTACCGAAAAAATTAGGCCACAAACCTGCCACCGCGCTGAAATATGCCTCAAAATAAATCTATAGAATTTCCCAATCTTATAATATATTTTAATACATACTATGTGTTGGTGGGATGTATTACTATACTTATAATATTATTATATTCCTTAGGGATTATTTTGCTTTATGCGGTCAATTTTTGGCACGTCCGTATTTTCGGGGGATCTTAATACAGCGAATTACTATAGAGAGTCTTTGATCATTTATTATAGTCAATGGTTATTCACGGAAGACGACAATCGCATTAACCCATTCGTATGGGCGGTTCCTCCGGAAACAAATTATATATTTATCTACATTATACAACACTATCGGTTTATAAAGTATCAGAGTAATCTAAATCCTTATTATATCTACTTCTATCTGGGAATATGCGCGGTAATCGGTATCTCGGCTGATGGTTTACAAAGTCTGACTAAGCTACAACAAGTGTTTTTTTTTGTTATTCTTTGTCTAAACACGAATAGTCTCTGTATAGTAAACGACCATCGATTACCAATTACATATTATTATAGTATATATTTTTTATAAATATATATATATAGTTACTATATTATCATCACGATGTTCCTATTTGTACAAGACTTTAACCTTATCCGCTGACCGATCATCGGGGCCGCGTTGGGTACACACCCGCACATTGTTGGCAATGAAGATTTTTCTTCTTCTTTGCTACTTTTAATCTCATCTTCTCAACAGTGTATATAATACGTAGCTGCACTACATCCCAATACTATTTTACGGCAGTCACGGTTTTGCCGGTCGCCTTGGTTTAACTCCTGGTGGTTCCACTACAGTTAGTTTATAATTACCGGACTCGCTACCGCACACACACAGACAAAACGTCGTGACCCGTGCACATTGTATAATATAGCATTACTATTATTATTATTATTATTATTATTATAATGGTCTTCTTCGTCTGCTTCTTTATTTTCTGAAACAATAGTCGAGCAAAAATAAATTGATTTTTTATGTACATTAGAACGCGCCTACTTTTGTAATGGTTCCGGGAGCATTTCATACTCGTTTTAGTATTTTATTATTTTCTTAAGCTCGTAACGGTTGTTTTTAAACTAAAACGAGCCTTCGGAAACACCACAATAAAAGCACATAACCTGGATCCAATAATGGTACTTGCACTTTTTACAACAACCCGCAGACCACCGTCATGACGACACTGGACGCGATGGTTGCACGAACAGCGCTGATGCGACGGGGACTTTGTGTGGGAATTTTTAATAATCCCAAGACCGCACGACTTCCACAGACTGTTCAGTTCCATTCGCCATTAACTTCGAATGGCAACGCTATATTATTTTTCTATATTTTAGCAAAAAATAAAAATGCAATTCATGAGAACTAGCGTTCTCGTGGAAATCGTGTCCGAGTCAATGAATCAATAACTCTTTATTTCATTATATAAACTGCTATGTTCATTACTAGGTATATTTCATTTCTAACACTTGTACAAAGTATGTAGAATGCTATTATCTATTAATAGATATATGTATATTTCTTTGCATAACTCAATTTCTCCTCAAAAATACACTTATATTCCACACATTTTTGCAATATGTCACGCCATCAGTTTGTTTAAATTAATTGTACGACCCATTCCTAAGATTTAAATTTGATGTGTCTACGGTCACTAAACTATTTAATTATTTTTAATATAAATTTTAACTTTGTTATCATTTTATAAGCTAATATTTTCTATTTATACAATGTAATAAATACCTAAAATAATGGAAATTTTTTTTTTAATTTTTAATGTTACGAGTCATCTTATTGAGTTTAAACTATATTTTGATATTTCCGACAATAACTTTTCAATGATTTTTTCAATATGGTTATTTTCCCTAAAAATCACAGAAACATTAAATATCAAAATACGCTAATCTTACACGGTTCTATACTCGGATTAGAATATTTTAGTTAAATTAATAATATATTTTTTCTTTAATGAATAGGTATCTTATTATTGAATGTTGATAAATTTATACTATACAAATTACATGTAGTTCAGTATAAAACAAAGTTGAAATGGAATGTTGTACCTACTTCAATACAAAAAAAATATGATATGAGAATGTAAATTACCGTACCTACACTGTTTCGTAGATTAAACATAATACATAATATAATATGGTATAATGTTGTTTTCAATAAAATTAGGAGAAATGCATATCTATACGTATCGTCAAAATGTTTTCCCTTAAAAACATACCACATTTAAATTTCACTTGTCTTTCTTTGTCATTTTGGTCTTCTCATAATTTGTTAATGTATTGATATGCGATATTATGTACAATAATGCTGCATAAACGTTTCGCGTTCAGTATCTTCTTTATTTGTTATAAATGATTGGAGAGATTTCCGATTCATATTGTAGAGTAATGTAAACAGTCTAATAAATACTTCCCAGCTCCCAACTATAGTATTTTAGGGTCATCTACCTTGGTTTTTAACAACCTAAGCTATTTTTTTTTTTTTTTTGACAAGCACTAGATACATATAATCGATTATTTTGCTGAAATACAATACACTAGCAAAGCAAAACTTAAGTATTTTAAAATAAGTATTGAGAGAGCCAATTTTTTACTATGTTGGCGAGCATTTCATTATCCCCCTGGGGATGGTGTAAATACAGCCATAAACTAACAAAATGTCTTTTGCTGTTAACATCTATCCGTCAGCGGTTATAAAATGTGCTTAATAATAATTTTTCTAAAAAACGTAGCTATATAATATAATATGCAAAATAATAATAACGTGATTTATGGTCTTTGTTTGTTGAAAACATAATCATATTTATTTTTTGTACCGAGCACGGTTATTATTATAATTACCAGTCAAATACCCCCGCTGACCGCAAGTCGCAACACTAGCAAGGTGAACAAGACGTAATATACAAAAAAACGATTTTTTTTTTTTAGCATAATGTTATTTATTTAACAATTAGAGACATTCAAGAGATTCGGTCATTCGAAAATTTGACTATTCAAAGAACGTGTTGCTTACATTTAACGAAATTTTTAAATAATTGGTGATAAAATCAAAATATTCCAATTAATTTTTTTCATTAACCTACTTAATATACGACAAGTTCGGTTAAATTTATTAATTCATATTATATTTATCATGTATAATTATCAAGCCACAATCTAGATCATGTTTATATAGCTCAAGATAATGTATTAATTAATACTGCACAAGCATGTGTATCTTAAATTAACCATAGATTAAAATTTATCATAAACAGATCAGTGAGAAATTAAATTATTTCAAATTACTCGTATTAGTTAGGTACACAAGATTGAGTGCACTTAATTTGAAATATATATATATATGTATTTAAATTTTATACACTATCTCTAATGTTAGGTTTTAATTATAAACTTGTTCTAGCAAACAAATAAAATTTTATTTGCATGTTTGATCTTAGTAATCGATACTTGATAGCTGATATTGACTTAAGCAAGTTGGCTTGCAGCATAAGTTTCTTTGCAATTCTTGCTAAAGTTATACTCACATTCACCGTCTGGGCTCTCTAAACAACATTCATAATACATAATATGATTTAAGCTCAAATTCTTTTTCTGAAGCCATAACAGTTAAAAATGTAATTTTACTTAAAGTGGACTTGTCTAGTTATAACCACCAACC